ACTGTTTTCTGCCCAATGCACAGACGAGGTCATTTGTCACAATAATAGCAAATGTAATGCCACCAGTTTTTTTTTGTTTTTTTTAAAGAGTTCAATATTCATGAAATAAAAACTTGTTTGATATCAAATATAATGCTACGTGGCCCTGGTTTGCCCTCATGGATGAGGTGATGGGACAAAGCCCTTCCATTAGGCCTCCTGCCTTAATTTCCTCTCTCCCTGAGGACACTCCAGGGCCAAATGCAGCAGTGGGTGACTAAAACAAAAGCAATGAGGAAGGGAAAAAATAATTTTTAAAGTTGTTTACACAGGATTATCCCAAGTGACCAGTTCCTGGACCGTTTCTTTAACAACTGTAATAGATTACAGGAAGTCGTTGGCAATGTTGCTGAATCTGCCGAAGCAAGATCAGACATGGATGGGGTGCTGCAACTGAGACCTGCGGTTTGCCTTTTCTGCAAAGAGAGCTCTAGGATGCTTCCTCCCACTGTCCACTGCATCGTCCATCCACAGGGTTTGCAGGGTTGGCTCAATCGACGGCCGCCACACCACTAAGATGTTTTCAGAATTATGCAAGCAGGAGATGGTGGATGCCATATTACTACTAGGATAATACTTGTATCTCTGTAGCACACAACAGTTTGATAAAGTGTAATGTAAAAAGAGAAACCAAAAGATTAGATTCTTTAAGTTTCAAAGAGATTTAGTTTATATATTTTATATTATACAGTAAATGTATACGAGCAATAGTTCAGTCACTGAAATTATCCTTGAAACTAGCTACTCGTTTGTAGTTGCAGGTTCTCTGAAGTTTCTCCAAGGGACAGGAATTTCACATCCCAGTTCATGCATCCATAAATGTCTTGGATAGCTGCTCCCTGTTCTGTGTTTTTCACATTTATTTATTATAGTTTAAGCCTGAAGACTCGTGCTGACAGATTTCCACAGCTCCTTTGTTTTGCCCACATTTAGCTGCAGGTGGGTCACCTCAAACCACCTCACAAAGCGACCAATCCACACTTCCAATAATGGCTGTGTCATCAGAAAATTTCTGAAGGAGACAAATTTCTGTGATGTAAACTGAAAACAGGCTGCAGCTGCACAGGTGACGTAAGTTGACCTGCTGTCACCCGGATCTAGAGCTGTACTGTAAACAAACACTGAATGTACTTAACAAACTAAAATAATTACATCAGATCCATGGCTGGAAACTCTCGATATCCGAGCAGAGTAGTGGATCAGTAGGTTAAAGTTAGCTAATAATCTCTGGTGATTTAAGCTACACTGCCTAATGTTTAAAGAACAAATAAAATAAGCACACGCTATAATTCACAGCAACATTCCCGCATTATCAGAATAGTTTGAACATGCGCTTTATTTAAGTTAAACTGTGTTTGAAACTGCATCACGCATCTCTGCATCTGTTCTCTGCTGCAGCTACAAAGTCTTATTATTAATAAGAAACCAGCCTGTGTGAGAGACTGTAACCTGAGGACATCAACAACACTGGACATAACACCTGTTTTCATTCTATCAATAGAAAAGTTACAGAAATATTAAATTTGAAGACAAATTCAGAAAATAATACTAAAATGCGCTATATGTAAAATTTGGGGGTGCTCGAGCGCCCGGGATAAGGCTGTAAACTCCCCTATGAAGCATTTGTCTTGTGCTTCCCATGAATGAAGCTCATGTTCTATACACAGTGTTTCAACCACGTCTGTCTGCCCGTGTGGGCACAAGTTAGAGGAAGCGGGACTCCGTAACATGCGCG